AGTTGCTGCCCACAAACGTGTCTGCTTCAGCGATCTACTGAGGCAACTGGGGAAAACTTACCTTGGCAATATGGGAACTTCAATTTTCAGAATCATTTCCCCAAATAAATATTTAACTTTCTTCGTATAAAGACTCTATTGTATTATAGATGATCTGAAAACCCCTCATTCTTTTTCCTCTGATCAGTGCTTGCTTTTGGTCCTACTCACTGAGCTTATGGCCGCAAATCCCCCGCTGTAGGTTTTCAGCTAGGTGTTGTCTGGCTACATTCACACTCACTGCCACTGAGACGATGCCCTCTCACAGAGACCCCAGTAGGATGAGATAGAATTGCCCCTATGCATCTCCAAGGCTGTACTTTATAAACTAGTATCAACGAATCTAGAGATCTTCTACTTTTTAATTAAAAGATCATTTTATTGGGGGCTCTAACAATTCTTATTACAATCCGTACATCAATTATATCAGGCATATTTGTACATATGTGGCCATCATTCTTTTCTAGACATTTACTTTCTATTGAGCCCTTGGTATCAGCTTTTTTCCCCTCCCCCCCACACCCTCATGGCCCTTTGATTGATTATAAATGATTTTTTTTTTCAAATCTCACACTGACCGCTCTCTCCCTTCCCCTATGGTTTCTGTTGTTCTTCCCCCTGGAAAGGGGTGTGTGGTTATGTGTTGATCATCGTGATTGGTTTTCCCTTCCTCCTCTCCTTTCTCCTCTACCACCTACCCTTCTGGTATTGCTGTTCCCATTCCTTTTCCTGGATTCTGTGTGTTGTGAGCTCTTATATCTTATCTTTACCTTGCACATGCTCTAGTCTAGTCCAGAGTAAGAAGCAGTACTGGAGTTCTGATAGTGGGGGGTGAGGAAACCTCAAGGAACCAGAGGAATATTGTGTGTTTCATCTGTGCTTTACTGCACCCTGGGGTTGACTTATCCCTTCCCTGGGACCCCCTGTGGGGGATGTTCCATTGTCTACAGATGGGCTTTGAGTCTCTGCTCTGACCCCCCTCATTCTCAACAATGTGTTTTTGCTTGTTTGTTATGGATCTTCTGATGCCTGTTACCGGGTCCTGATGACACCTCATGATCGCACCAGCTGGTGTGCTTCTTTCACGTGGGCTTGTTGCTTCACTCCTGGGTGGCCACATATTCAAATTCAAGTCTTTAAGACCCCAGATGCTATATCTTTTGATAGCCGGCACCATCCACTTTCTTCGCCACATTTGCTTATGCACCCATTTTGTCTTCAGCGATGTGCCGGGGCTGGCGGTGTGTGGTGGGGGTGGTGGTGAACATCACAAAATGCCAGTTTGTTAGAATAAAGTGTTCTTGTATTGAGGGAGGGTATGAGTTGAGGCCCAAGGTCGGTCCACAAACTCAGTGTATTGACATAATAATTATATGTACATAGGCCAATACCTCTATTTTTATGGATTCATGTATTTACATATGTACACACCTACACTTATTCCTCTATCCATAGCTTTGCTTCCTA